TTTTGTTTTGTTTTGTGTTTTTTTTTTTTTTTTTTTTTTTTGGGCAGATTTTAAATGACTGATGTGATGGAGGTCAGAGGGCATTTTGGCATGGAGACATTTCAGGATGTGCCACAAGTGTGTGTGTGTGTGTGTGTGGCATCAGCGTGGGTGTGTGGCACTCTTGGAGCTCCTTGTGGGTGTCCATAGCTTAGCTGTCCAGGGAGAATTAAGGTTGACCTCAATAACGTAATCAGCACAGATATGTGTGGAAAACTGAGGCTTGCACTTGTAGACTCATGCTGTATAAACGTTTGAGGCGCATGGTTCTTTGGGCCTGAGCTTTAAGGGAGGAAGCAAGCAAAGGCATGGTTAGAATGGAGAGCTGCTCTCTTGTGACTCAGCAGCAGCATGGACGGAGGCGCAGATGCAGGAACCTTCAAGCCTGGGGGTTTCGCAGCAACGTGCTCAGCTGCTGGTCCTGAACTGTCTGGCATCCACCCACTTCCTCTGCTGGAGTTGTCACTCTGAGGAGCGTCTTTCCTGTCCCAGGCCGAGGCATTGTCCAGTTTCCCAGTCCTGCCTAGTGGGAAGTAGTACCTGCCTGGCTCCTTAGCCAGGGCCCAGAGGGAAGCTCTGCTCCTTCCGGTGCACCTGGCCCTGGGCTCCCCATGGGGACTTTCCACGCTTCATGTTTCGAAACACTGTTTAAAACATTGTTTGATTTTGTAGTTTGTTTTCTGTTAAATGTTGAGCAGATGTAAAAGAATGTGTTTAGTGTAAAGAACAAGGGCACAAGGAACACCCCTGTCCTGTCGCCCCATTTACAGAAAGAATGTCACCATGACCTTTGGAGTCCCCTGTGTGCCACCTCTCCCACAGTTCAGGCCTGAATTTTGCTCTTGTCCTTCTCTGGCTTTTGCTTCTCTAGGATTATAGGTGTGCACTGTCATGCCATGCGACTGGTATCTGTGCTCCTTTTTCTTTTTGTTATGGTACTGGAGATTGAGCCCAGGACCTTCACGTGGAGCTACACTTCCAGCCTTAAAAATAATTTTTTTTGCGGGGGCCAGGTGTGGTGGTACACGCCTATAATCTCAGCATGTGGGAGGCTGAGGCAGGAGGATTGCCATGAGTTCAAGGCCACCCTGAATTACACAGAAGAAAAAAGAAAAAAGAAATAAGATTGTAATTTTTATTTTGAGACAAGGTCTCATCAAGTTGCTAAGGTGCCTAGGCTGGGCTCAAACTTGCGCTCCTCCTGCCTCATGTGCTACCGTGCCTGGCTATTTTGTACATTTTTTAACTTAATATAACATTGCTTTCTTCAGTGACTCAAACTTTTTGCTGAACATACGTTCTTGGGATTCATCTACGTTGCATGTGTTTGTATTTCATTTATTAAAATATTTTACTACTCTGATAGAGTACAATGACGATTGTGATTTTGGGTTGCATTTTTCTGGTTACTACTGAGTTGAGTGTCTTTTTTTTAGACTTCCTGATCATATTTATTGTATTGAGTCTTCCAACTCATGAACATGGTACATCTGAATTTATGTAACTTTCCAAAGTCTTATTTTAATCAGTGTCTACACTCAAACACTGAGGACCTTAAAACACTTTGGTTCTTTATCACTACCTCCCTCCTTCCCTTTAATTCTGTAGCAGTGTTTTAGTTCTGCATTTAGATTCTGTTATTCTCTACAGCGGACCCTTGAGTTCCGACCAGTCTGCCTGACATACAAATGACTTGGGTTCTGATCGTCACGACCCGAATGCTGCCACTTTGCTTCCGGTTGGTCTCAGATACAGCTCTAACCCTTGAAGAGCTCTGGAAGGAGCATGACAGCACCCCTTCCTTTGTGGGGTTCACGGAGGGATCCTGGGCCAGCGTCTCTGAGGCCCAGAGATTGGCCTGTCCACGGGAGAGAGGTTCGAAGGCTGTGTGGAGGAGCCCAAGCCTTCAGTTGACCAACCTGAGGCAGCCAGCCCTTGGGGATGAATCAGATTTTGAAGTTAAGGGCCATTGCCCTTCCCTTATTCCACATCACCTTCCGGAAGACTATGTTTCTTGTTGTGCGATTTGAGCTGTAGAATGCAGTCGGGCTGTAGCCCGTCTGGGGCCATTTGGGGCTCCACCTCCTCGAGGGAACACCTGTCCTCCGAGGCAGACTGCTGGCGACCCTTCTTTCCCCGGGGCTTGTGTGGCTCCTTCCTGGTAGAGCAGGAGCTTGCGCAGTTCAGCAAGTGCTCTCAGCACCAGGTCCCACGCCTCATTTGCCCTCTGGATTCCAGCCGTTGTTTAGTTTTTATCCCCTCGGTGTTGGTTGCTTGACTTACCAGTTCTCTGGTGCATTTTAAAACATGCCATAAAATTCTTATTCAGCATTTATAGCTGTTTTCAGTGGCAGAGTTGGCCAGAGAATCTGGTGTGTGGCATTTTCAAAAATTGAGATGTTTCGTCATTTTAATTTTGTAGTTCATTTGGCAGCAGCAGACTCTGAATATTAGAAATGAGACGGAGTGTTTGCTCCTGGATTGCATACCCTCACTCATTGGAACAGGGAAAGGGGTTGGTAAGTGTCTTTTCATGACACAGTTCGGCTTTTGGGAACACACTAAGGATCGGTTGAACTTGGTGTTCCCTGTCTGTCTGTGGAAGTTTTGTCTTTGTCCACAGGAGAAAGAGCACAGTGTGTTTGTATGTGTACATGTTTTGTTTTGTTTTGTTTTTTGTACTGGGGACCGAACTCAGGTCCTCGCGCCTTCGAGGCAGGTGGCAGAGCCACTGAGCTAAACCCCGGCTGTACGTATGTATGTATCTGTTTTGTTGTTTGAGACGGGGTCTATCTGTGTAGCCCAGGCTGGCCTCAAACTGGCAGCGACCCTCCTGCCTCATCTTCCAGGGTGCTGGGATTACAGGTGTGCACCACTGCGCCCGGCAAGAGCAGTGTTTAGAGTTTGGCAGGCTTGGCCTTGAGTCTGGACAGGCAGGAGATCTAAGCAGGTGACAACCCTCGCATCCTCCTCACATGGTGCCTGTGGGCCCAGCGAGTGTGTGTCACACGGTATGGTGCGTCACGGGCAGCTCTTTGGTCACTTACTGCTCTGTGGCCCTGCCCTTGGGAGCTGGGAAGCCTCTCTTGCCTGTAACCTCCCTAGAGGGCTTAGCAGGGAAGAGCCTATTGTTAACGAGACTTACTGTTTCACCTACATT